CCCGTCTCGTTCTATTATTTGTCTCGCTTTTGTGGGGTGAATTTACCTTTTGAATCTGCGTTTGAGTGGCGGATGTTTTCGTTTTCCCCGTATTGGGCCCTGGATTGTCCATTCGCTGCGACCGCATAACAGAAGCATGCCCCCACGGCTCGTCTGTTCCGCGAATTACTAATGAACCATGTTTCCTTTCGATACGACAAGTTGGCAGAACGGCACTTGTGCGTACACCCAAAAAAGCAGGTACTCGAAATCATGCTTATACAACAAACATTATAAATTTTTGAAAATGTGCATTCTTAGGTTTTTGAGCACATGTTCTTGTTTTCACAAAAAGAAAAAACACTGGATTTCAAGCACCTGCTTTTAGGCGTTAGAACTTCAAACAAAACCTTTGGGTAACTTCAGGTCGGGCAGTTTCACTCGTCTAGAAATCGATTTCTGCTCGCGGCGCTTCCGAGATGATAGTGAAAGGCGTCTGCACGTAGCCTGTGTGCTTTTCCCTCGCGTCAGGCGGACGCGGACAGGCAGTGTGCGCTGCTGTCCAGGGAAGGGGTAAGGGGGGTTGGGGGAGGGCTCCTGGAATACCAATAACTCTCCCCAAAGGGCCCGGGCGACTGCATTGCAAAGCGGGCTGGAAGGCGGCTGGCCTCTTCCCCGCCCCCCTTTTCCCCACCAACACTCGCCCGTAAGGCAAGGGGGCCTGCCTGGGCTGCTGTCACCCGACTGTCGTCAAGTCGTCCTCCTATTATTGGCCCAGGAAGGGCTCAGATGGTAAGAGGGGGAGGGGGGAGGGAAAAGTCGATTATGACAAAATCCTTTCAGCCGCGCCCCTTCTGCTTCCTCCTCTCCTCCCGATAATTACCTCGAGCGATTAGGTTCGTCGCGGCTCTCGCTTCTCCAGCCCAGCACGCACGACCCGCGGACCTGAAAATGCTCGTCTCCAGCCCGGCATCGGCCCCTGGAGGCGCTGGAGCCGCGCTGGAGTGGGGTCCGGCGCGACCCGGCCAGGACGCCAATGCCATGCAGATCACGATCGGCCGGGCTCTGATAGTAGCTGCTTCCTGCTGGAACTAACGCACCCAGCATCCCCACCAATTTTCTTATTTCGTTGCGCGCGCCGCTCGGGGGACACGACGCGAGAAAGGCGACCGTCGTCGAGGAGGGTGCGGGAGAGGGTAGAAGGGGACAGGAAGGGAAAGAGGCCGACCTTCACGCCCTCCCGCCTGCGTGCAATCCGAAAATGTTCCACGACTGCCTTTGCATTCGAATATTTAAAGTCGACAATCGGGTGAAATTGCAGCACGGGATTCACCCGTACTCTAGCGGTTTGCGATTCAAGTTTCGTTCGAGTACTGTTTGCGAAATTCCCCCCGCCCCACCTGTAACTGCTCGTGATGCGGCGCTGCGGATTTGGTTTGCTTTTGACTCAGGTTGGCCTGACTCAACCCGGCCCGCGCTCCGCATTCACTGTGAAAAATAGTCGTTGTTAACTTAGAATGTCGTTTTATTTTAAATTACGATTTACAAACAATGTTGTAACTTTACGATTGATGCACTAGTGAAACAAATGAAGTAAGTTGCACACTGCGGATGGGCAATTTCAAGTGTGCAAAGTTTATACACCAGATGAAATGGCGTGAAACTGTACTAGACATTAGACATTTCATAAGCGTTTACCTAAGTACCGTTTATTATTTGCAAGTCACGAGGTGTGAAATTCAGTCAATTACTAAATGTGATATGCAAAATCACGGGTCACACACAAGTGTGCAATATGGGCACATTGTTCAATCAGCAGTGTATCTTAAGTTCAGACAGATCAGATTTGCTCGTCGAAGAATTCCATGTCAATACGTTAGTGTGAAGCAATTTTTGTAAATTAAAAATTTTAAATCGTTAAGTGCAACATTGTTCATGTGCAAAGTTTTTCTGGACTCTTACCAATATTTTTCTCGGTAGTATCGCTTCAATATCCTCGCTTGTAAGGCCGAATACTTAATTTGATTAATTGATCTGCGCTGCTCTGGTAGCGCTCCGCTCCGCCTCCAGGGCGCCTCCAGGGCGGTCGCCAAAGAACGTTGGCGCGGCGCAGGAGCAGGAGGTCGAGCAGCGCAGCCGGGTGGTTGCCGGGCTTGGTTCGCGCTCCTCCGACCCGCCCGTTTTTAATCAGCTTATTACCAAGACACACAGCCCAAACACGGTGCCGGAACAATTGTCGTTGCTGACGACGTTGACTCTCCCTCTTCCTCATCCCGCCCTCCCTTATTATCTATCTATTTGAGGCGTCCTCTATCCTTGTTCACTGTAAGACATGAATCTAGGGTCCTCCCTCCCAGACATGCCGTTATCCATTCTGTATTTTTAAACTTTTGTTATGATTTGGCCTGCTTGCAGTGTCTAAGGCGGCCATCCTGGGCAACCCGGAGCTGTTCCTGAAGAGCGGCTCGGACATCAACCTGACGTGTCAGGTGGTGGCGACGCCCGACCCGCCCTCCTTCATCTACTGGTACCGCGGGCCCAACGTGGTCAACTACTCGCAGCGCGGCGGCATCTCGGTCGTCACGGACAAGCAGACGCGGACCTCGACGCTGCTCATCGCGCGCGCCCAGCCTGAGGACTCGGGCAACTACACGTGCTCGCCGTCCTCGTCGGACCCGGCCAGCGTCCTCGTGCACGTCCTCAACGGTGAGCGTCTTTGCCGGCGTGGAACGCGAGCCCCCGCCGGGCTAGACAGGCCCGCCGCGCGGCCGTGCCCGCCTGGCTGCCTACCCCGCTTCCACCAGGCGCTTCCCTCTGGCGAGTGCGACAGAAAAATGACCGTGCATCTTTGTGTCTTGTTGCAGGGGAGCACCCGGCGGCTATGCAGCACGGCAACAGCAGCAGCGGGGCGACCCCGCCCGCGGCGGCCGAGGCGCTGCTCCTCGTGGTGTGCCACCTGGCGTGGAGCCTCGCCTTCGGCGGCCTCGCCCGCGGCCGGCACCCGACCGCCGCCAGCCTGCGGTGATGAACATCGCAGGCCTCGAGCCTGTGAGCGTGACGACCCGGTCACGGCCACGGCCGGCAGGGCCTCGGAGGAACTGGGCGGACAACAGCGTCCGTCAGCTGCAAAGCGGTGCAAAGTCCCGCTGTGGACAACGGGACACTGATGTGGCACTTCCTTATCTAAAATGATTTCTGTGATCCTCGATTAATGTAGGTGCGCGTGTGAGAGAAGTGTGTGTGTGTGTGTGTGTGCGTGCGTGCGAGCGGTGAAGGTGCGTTCGTTCCGAGACAGTGCGAGTAGGGAAATTCTTCAAGGACGTTCCAACAGTTTTGTATGGATGGGAGAGAAAAGCACTGGGAAGTTAAGTGTGATACTTCAGTTTTAGGGAAAATATAAAATAATTGTTAAAATGTGCAATGCATGGAGTCATTGAATTGTATGTGCATTAGAAAACCACTTTTTAGAAGAGCTCAAAGTGGCATTGGGTGTTGAAAAGTCTGTCTTTTGATTCCCTGTGGACCACAACACAGTGGTGCACTGCTTCAACTCACTGAAAGAACATGACGTCTGTTCACACAGGCTCATATCAGTGGCTTTGGGTTCGCTCTTTTGGTTATGTTATAATGAATTGAAGGTCTGTGCTGTCGTTCTAAAAGTTGCATTGTTAATGGTCGAGATTAGATAAAAGGGGGGTATATGATGTTTAATCATACTTGTGGTTTTCTTATTCTTTTGACAAACATTGAAATTTAACTAAAATAGAAGGGGCACGCCACTTGTTAACATGACATAAGTTAGTGACTTTTTAAATGTAGGGAAAACATACGTTTTAGATGAGTTACAAGCTATTTTGTAAAAGTGCAGAAGCTAGAATAAAATTTATTATTTTGTGTTATTTTATACAATGGATCTTTATTTTGTCGCAATGTTATGTAAATTTAACAAGTGGTAACCTCTTGAATTATTGTCTTTTTCAGTTGCAAAAGTCAAGTGACTCACTGTACGTTGACCAGCAGCTTTATAAATCTAAATTTTAGTTGTTATTTTCAGCACAGTTCAACAATAAAAGCTCCTTTCAGTTTGTGAATAAATAACATAGATTGTTTCTCTATTGATTTAATAGGAGTATGACTGCCCACATTAATGCTGGTTCATACTTTTATTTCCCCAAAGCTATCTCTTTACTTCAGATATTAAAATTTCTAATTCAAATGTCAATATTGTAAATAAAAAGATGAATATTTCTATTAATGTCTAGAAGGATGACTGGGAACACGGTAACGCTTTGAAGTTAAATGTGAATCTAGTTGGCCAGTCCTTCTGTGAAAACCTAAGGAGGGAACTGTGCTAAGTTGACGAGCCCTGTACAAAAAGTGCATTGTGTTTTGTAATCACTGTAAATAATAATAAAAATGCCTATAAGCTAAATGGAACCTCTCATGTTGTATTCAATGCTCAGACTAGAACTGCAAATACCCATCTGTTTTACACATTGTATTACGAGTGGCTTAGTTTCACTTGCACTACCTACTTGGTAGTAGAGTAGTAGAGCACTCAAAAAAAAAAAAAATAGCAGGCAGTAGACACTGTTTCTATTCTAAAGAAACATTTATACCAGCGGATGCAATTTGCAGACGACATTAAAATTCAAGAAAAGAAAGATTTCTCGATCGGCGCTAGCCCGGTTCTGAACCGCTGACAACGATGAATATTCGGTCGCCGTCCCTATCTGAGAACACAGTAAAGTGGATTCATAACTCTGTGTGGCCCTTGGGACTAGGGATGGCGCGGCCCGGCACGGGGCTGGCTTGTTAAACCGAAGTAATGACGTGATTACGGGGGCCGAGACGGGCACGAATGTCGCAGGCAAGCCGAAGACACATTGAAGTGGCTGCTCGAAGGAGAATGGGGGTGTTGGGGATCTTGGTAAATTTGGTAGTACAGTGTTAGTTCCATTTACATATTGACAAGAGTTTCTTAGTCGGGCTTAATTCATATGACTGACACCCCTTCATTCAAAAGCTTGGTTTTTCGTTCATTTTCAAGGGGCTGTAAACAAAACCGAACCCTATACATAGCGTCGGCAAACGTCCTCCGTTTTTACAGTGCGGATATCAGCACGCGGCGATGCATCAAGAGGGCGGGACGCAACACACGTGCGAGATTGGTGGGCGCAAACTTGCGTGGCAGAGCTCTCAAAACTAACCAAGACTGCAAACAAGCAGGAAAACTGCGCCGCTTTTCCCCTTGAACGCCGCGTCGCCTCACGCGATTCTCCTCTTTTCCCCCCTTTTCCCCGGGCGTTCTCTTCCGTCCAGTTGAAAAGGGTGCGGCGAGGCGCGGGACGGGGCGAGAAGGAGAGTGTGGGCGGGGCGCCGAGAGACAGGCGGGCTGCCCGGGCCGAGCCATTCAAGCCATAACTTGAACATTCTTTAGCCAGTGGAGCAGTCCCTCCCCCCGACCCCCTCTCACTACGCTCCGCCTGGCCTTCCATCTCTTGTCCTCCCCAAACTACTGGCGCATCGCAGCCACTGCCGCGGAAGAGGGAAGGGGCGAGGAAAGATCGGTGAGGAATTGCTCTCGGGCTATTATCGACGATATTAGTCGCGGGCACGAGGCGAGGGGCGAGGGACGATGCAATACGTCAAGACGGCCGGGTTTTTGTGGCTCGCATTCCTTGTTACTCTCGCCGCGCGGAAAAATATTTTTACGTCTCCGGTGGGTAGAGGGGGAATGGGATGGAAAAAGAATTACCACGGTGGTAAAAATTACGAGTTCGGTCGGTGACCTGTCTCTCTCTCTCCGCGGCGTGTGGAGGACGAGTGGAGGTCGCACCTCCCCACACCCGGGTCACAGCCCCGGCCAGGCCAGCGGCTCGAAAATGAGGCATGATTAACAGCAGGTGTAATCTGGACAGGTGCGGGATAAGGCGCAGGGGGTTGCGGTGGGG